TTTTTTTCTTTATAATTCTCTTCCAGTCGTATTCTTTAAGATTCTTTACGGCAGTCCCCCGATTGGCGGTGGAGACCCCCGGTCGTGAATCGCACAATCCAGTCGAGCGATCCGAAGTATGAACGCGCTCCTTACTGTCAGCGTCATTGGTGGAAGGGCTGCGAGAGCGCGTTCGGCCAGACCTCACTTAGCCCTTACACCAATGACGTTGGCAGTAACCACCCGCTCCTAGCCATCGCACCCACTGCCTTCAAGCTTGATCTCTTGGACCGCGCCATACTTCAGTGTTTTTTGCACCCTTTCGTCTGCATGGGGTGCTACGACCTATCTTACACACTCCAGCTTGTCACCCAGATAGGAGGCAACTCACCACAGAGACTCTTTACCTTGAAGAAACCCATCGGACTCGCCACATGTGTCGCCATTTGGCGCTACTCGTTGTTCTCCAGGCCGCAGACCCTATCACCCCTGACGGTATGTGTTATCACGTGGCGTTTCCCCAGTTTACACTTTGGTCGGAAATCTTGTGACTAATTGTTTTGGGCAAGAAAAAATGAGCTCGGTGAGGTGCAATCAATATGAAACAAGTTTCTTGAACCGCTCTTATGTCAAAATGCAAAAAGAGTGAAGAAGTAGTTATGCAGGGAGACGGGTAAGAGAATCGTAATTTGCCGCTCCGCCGCGCGCGGCGATGGCGCGGCGTTTTCTTAACTCGTGTTAACCTGTCGACTGGAGCACCGGACTTCATGTAGACCCCGTCATCGTAGACATTCATGACTATTTTCGGTTCTGAATTGCCTGTTGTCGCCATCTACTACCTGGAACCATCGTCATTTGCGGGCGCGACGTCGCACGCGACGCCCAAGCGCGGCGAATTACGATTCTCTTGTCACATACCCAGTTGTGCATGTACCCTCCCCTGAAAGTACAACGACAACCGTGTAATCCATCATTTTGGCTGACATCATCTTGCTTGAAGGCGCTAGGCAGGAGGTGGGAGGGGGTGAGGTTTTAATGAGAAGCGTTCGGGAGTGTGAACGGAAACTGAGGAGTATTTTCTAGCTTACTCTAGCAGAAGGAAGAGGTCGTCAAACCATTTTTTCTGTGGAGAAAGTAGTCGTAGTTTTGAATGCGCTTGGTGCTCTGCACCAAGATGTCCCACTTTATTGGGAAACCTCAGCATGTCTTATCCTATCTCATCGACGTTTCGGCGAAGTATGCTTTCTGGAAGAGAGTATGGGGAAGAGGATTGTAGTTTTGCGTGAGCGTTATACAGTCCCGAGCGCTTATCATTTGTGAAGGTTCTGAATGTGCTAGGGGTCCATCGTCCTCGAGCTCCACTTCTTCCAAAAGTGAAGGCTACTTTAGCGCTGACATGCCAAAACTTACATTTCCAGTCATTTGTGGCAGCAATATGATCGGGTAAGTGGGTAACGATTAAGAAAGCGACGCAGTGAAGAAGGCTGAACCATCTGGAGCATCCCTCAACCCCCCCCCCCATCCACTGCTTTTACGGTTTTCCCCTTTTCTGTCTCAAAATATGTACAACATTGACAGCTGAATTATGGGTACCGCGCCTGCCACCCTTCCTGAAAAACCGAGCGGCAGAGAACGAAACCGAGGCCCGGCTAGATTTATCGACATTCTTCTTCCGTGTTGTAATCGTGTTTGCATTATGACGAAACTGTCACTTTACAGTCCACGCCGGCTCGAAATCAAATAGGGCCGATGGGACTCCTTTCCCATGCTTCTTTACTACTTTTCTCGAATTTAGTAAGGTCCAGTACTCATTTGTAATGAGTTTTTTGACGACAGGCTATTGAAGCGAATATCTCCTTAAAGTACCATTTGTTGCTAGAGCCCTGCTCATAGTTAGCATTCTGGAAGAACTGGCTAATTCAAGGATTTGGATACGAATCGATTCTGTCGGTTGTCCATTCTGCTGATCCGGCAAACATTCGCTCTTCAGTTAGTGCTAAACCCTCTAAATTTCTATGTTCGAACGTTGGGTGTGAACCTAAGGCAGTCTGAGCACGCCTAAAGGAGGGTAAATATCGTTGGTCCCGAGTCGCACATCATGGGTAAACTAGCATAGTATTCCTTAGCTAGTTGACTTGGCATAAAACAGCACTAGTCGTCAAATTGGTCCCGGTTTTGATGCGAATACTGCGGTCACGGTCACTCGGGCCGTTTGAATTGCGACACACCCTAGCTGTAGTTACAGTCGAGTTCTCATCGGACGGTGGGGCGGTCCTTCGTCCACGTTGGCAAGCCTTCCGACGCCGCCCCGATCGATAATGACTGATACGCCAATTAAACCGATTTCTATTGTTTTCAGCTTCGAGAAGCTGAAATAATTCTTCGTGCAGCTTTAAGAAGAAAAGGTGAGTATGTTTTAATGAAGCTAGATTTTATTCTGCATGAATTTAGCCAATAGCATCGCAGTAAACGAAGACATTCAGAAAAAAATGCGAAAAGAAAGAAACAAGTTTTCTAAGGGAGTTTCATGCTAAATTCTTGCAGAATCTAATCTAATTTCGGGAAACATACTCACCTCCGAAAATTGAAGCTGAAACTAGAATAATTCAGCTTTTACAAGACGAATATTGCGAGAAAACAACAAAAATTACCGCACAAATCAGCTGATTGGTAGCGTCAGCAACCATCGATCGGTAAGAGTCCAGAGCGGAAGAGTGGGTAGACGGTGCGGCGGCGTGTGGTAGAGCGCAGAGTGCACAGTAAGAGACGGAGAGGCAATGATGATAATCTCCCGAAAATTTTCGGCTCCCCATCGACACGCAATCACCGGAACGCTCGCCAGCGTGGTCGTAGGGAAGCCCGCAGCGTCCGGTGAGCGCTCCCTTGTACCGTGCTGTCTATCTCACGGCTCTGCGTTCCACCCACCATGGGTGTGGTTTACGTAAATCAATATAGCCGTGGGCACTCCGCCGAGGATTTAAGCTCTCATATTAGTACAACTGAATATTTCCAAAATCGGATTATGAATACCGATTTGAAGAAAGGCATAGGGAAAGTCGGACAGGGCACGTGCATGCATGCACGTGTTTGAGATGCAGCCATTTCATAATGAAAGTCGTGCATTCTTTGCGTTCCTATGACGTGTGTATACAGCCAGTCACTGCCATTTGGTTGTATATTTATCTATTAATCTATTTATTTATTTATTTACACCATGAAGTGTACCGCAAGTTGTTATTTATAACAGATTTAAAACTCAATGTTACACTACACATCCAGGACTGAGGGAAGGAGCAACAGCATATTCAATGATGGAAACAGGCCTACCCTCGTCATCCGGGCAGTTGATTAGGGCGGTCGTCAACGGGCCGCAGCGCGTGCCAGGAACTATTTGCTTTTCCAGGGCTAATTTAGTCATTTTTTCCAACTTTTCACTGTTTTGGCTACTTTTTCCCAGATTAGCAGCTCCTTATCTTCACAAGGTGGAAAAAATGACTTTAGCCTGGAAAAGCAAATAGTTCCTGGCACGCGCTGCGGCCCGTTGACGACCGCCCTAATCAACTGCCCGGATGACGAGAATACAATTTTCTAGTCGCTTTCTGAAAAAGAAAAACTTGCTCATATTTTTTGCTTTCAAACTGAGTATACGCTCATAACGGCTTACATCCCTGTAGTTAAACACTTAGGCACGTCGAGAGTCGCGCGAAGGAACAGCAGTTGCAAATGGATGGTGTGGGTGATGAAGTGGGATGTTACGCACATTGTGGTATTTCCTAGCTAGCTAGCTTTAAAGATACATTCACAGATAGGTAGTCGACTCAAAAGACGCAGACGCAGATAGGTCAGGAGAGTGATGCTACCTCGAATGGATTGGGTCTTGGTAGAAATGTTGCATACGTCACGCCGCATGCAACGCCTGTGCACTGCACAAGGCTTGTCACTGAATGAGAACTAATGTTCCCACACCGCGGTGCGCAGCCATTTGCCATTGGCAGCGTTTCAGACTTCGGGACGGCAGCGCTCAGTCGCGTCGTTCGACGGCAGTGATGCAGTCGAATAAGACTGCGGGTATGTGACAAAAGGATGCGTAATTCAGCTGTGCTTGAGCGTCGCGTTCGCGTAGCCCACTGTATAATGACGCTGTTCGCAGGTAGGTAGATGGCCGACAGACAGCACCGGAAAACGGAAAATGCTATGAACTGCTACGATTACGGGGTCTTACAATGAAGTCCGGTGCTGCCCACCGACGAGGTAACACGCACGTTAAGAAAACGCCGCGCCATCGCCGCGCGCGCGATGGAGCGCGCAGGTTAGCGATTCTCTTTGCGCGTCCCCGCCGCAGCATGCGCATCGATGCGTCGAAACGCTGCGAGCCGAGGCGCTGTCGGCGGCGGAGATCTGGACGTTACCTTAGGTCCTAAACTGCCTGCAACGGTGAGAGCTATGCAATGTGGTCGAATCACCTGGGAAATTCTCCTGTCAGTTTTTTGAGCATCGCAGGCTACTGCTGTAATATCATTACAGGGAATTGCGCATGAGTATTGCGCCACAAGCATGGAATTGCGCCACAAGATGGAATTGAGCATAGTTGTGCCATGGTAAGTCTAAGAACTTAATTTAAGGGAGCCGCTCTCTGCTTTCATTTGATGTTCAGACGCCGTCTTCGGACGTAGTCCTGCCCGCAACGATGGACCACGCCCTTTCTTCGCCTTATGCACGTACAAATGGGATGCTATATGATGCATTTCGGGCTCAATATTCTGCTTTTCTTCACTTTTGTCTTACTTACCTTCTAGTCATTAAGATTTGTACCGCACAACTGACCGTTTTTGAATGCGGACTGCCGTTTGTGATGAATTTTTACCCTTGCGCTTGGACTCAGAGACTTTATAGCGTTCTGCTGTTCGCTCGAATCGATTTTTGTATGTCAGTACCATCTGAGCGTTCCTCATTTTATATTCTGGTTTTGAATTATTCATGATATTCATGGTTTCAGATAATTCGTTTTTGTGTGGAAAAGTATGGACAGTGCAGGTGCACCGTCAAGCCGGAAGGTATTTGAATATTTGGTTCTTGTCAAGCACTATTCACACAACTAAATCTATGTTATAAGGTTTTTCTTAATGATTTTCTGAACTTATAGAAACATGGACGCCGTCGTGTGGCTGATAGTATCAGTAAATCCCCAGCACCAGCGGCTCAACAATCGCCTGCAACGAAACTCCTAGCAGCGCTCAGTAAAGCTCAGGTTTGGAAACGTTTGTTTCACTGTAGCGAAACAGGCCGCTACAATTTCCGTGTGTAAGTATTATGGGCCTTCAGGGAAAATCTGCTCCTGATCCACCAGCATCTTCGCGACAAACTGGCCAAAACCAGAAATCTAAAGCCGATTCGGCCACAGCAAGGCAGAAAGCTGAGTCAAGAAAAAAAGCTAACGCAGTTCAAAATCAGGTTTGCCTTTTCGTAAAGTTGCCGCTCCATTTTGAGTGCCTAAAGCACAAAATCGCATGTGTAGAAGTTCAAGTTGGAATGACTTGCTCCTTGTTTCGTTTTCTTTTCACGGTTCCCTACAGTTGCATTTCTTTGGAGCGGCAATTTTTATCGCAAAACTGGTTCACATAGCTAGGAGTCTTTCAGTAATCGCAAGGGTTCTGAATTATCGGCAGAAAAATTGGCAGTGATGAAGTCTAGAACCTGAACAACTCGCTTACTGTGCTGGTCTTTTGAGCATTACACCTTCCAGTCTCTTATATGGCATGAAAGCCGCCAACCAAAAAAGTGAATTGCGGCTCTCGTGATGTAATGATTAGCTCCTTAAAGACAGTCCCCTCATTCAAGGATTTCCAGTTAATACGGTCTGCAGTTTCTGAAGACTGTCCCATTTCCGCGGCTTCCCTGTGAGTAGCAGAGGCGCTACCGCCCTCACAGTTGGCGCTTCTCACATCTCCCCGCCTCCCCCTCCCCTAGCTATCCCGACCACCAAAACTTTATTTTCTGGTGTTAGATGGCATTAGCCGTTGGATGACGCGAAGAAACGAATGAGCAAGAGGCTGTAGGACGTCGCTTTGAAACGAGCAGGTCTGGAGAACCTATACAGTGAGGTTCCCAGGGGTCTTGCTTGGAATTGGAGTGTTGTCCATGATTTTTTTATTTTTCCTTCCCTGAAGATCTTTTAAGTCATCATAGGTTTGTATTGAACACCACTATCCATAATATGCAATAGCGTGGGTTGTCTTTAACACAGAAGCCGAGTCCAAGTTTGGCTAAGGTCCAGTCTATTACCCATGACTTAGAATTGTTATGGTAAGTTTTGTATCGTGAACTGTAGCGAAACTCCGTAGATATAATAATGCAAGTCCAAATTTCTCTGTCTCTCAAAATTGTTCTGTTTCTCAAGAAGCTCACTTGCGCTTGGAAGCCATCTGTTGAGTTCATACTTCGCGGCTCAAGGTTAGGAGGCTTGTTGACTAAGAATGTTTTTCATGAGCGAGCATAGGTATCGATCGAAGAGGAGAGTGGGGCAGTCGGTGAAACAACGTTCTGAAAGAACTCGCGTTAAATGAGTGTATAAATACCTGTCTGCTCGGTCGTTAGCGTTTTGGGAGCATAGAAGAATTGAAGAACGGGTGAACTCGTACTACCAATCCACCCTTTGGCGAGTGTTTTCCAAAATTACGATTCGCCAGTTCTGCACCATGTCTATTTTCTCGTCACAAATCATCAGTGCAGTTCCATGATGGAGTGAACACCAAAGCAGCGATACACATTCCTTTGCGCAGCGCCAACAGCTTCACCTATTTTTCCTTGCTGTTCTTCTTTCATGCTCATAGTTTTTCCTTGAGGCGGAGGTGAAGTAGTGGCAAGTGGCACGCTTAGGCTGCGTTCATACTTTGCGTCAGCGTATGTCAGCGGGTGCATCATCGTTATGTGAAACACCTAGGGGAACTCGTACTTTTCCGGTGAAGAATGGGTCGTATTTGGTCGTTGTTGGGAAGGGGGGGGGGGGTCGTATGTGGCCTTTGAGAGAAATTTGCCGCGCTTGGGAAAAAATTTTTTCGCGGTTGTGATTTTTCTGTTTCTTTTGTACTATATCCCCCTCCCTGCTCGACAGCAGAACTGGTACCAGATTTGCCTGGGAGGATAAGAACACTGTCTTGTACATCGGTTGGCCCCCGCAACTCATTTTTTCAATAAGCCACTGCGATTCTGAATGAAAATAGAATGTGTGCCGCATTCCAAAAGAATTAATCAGAGGACTTCAACTTTTTACTTTATAAGTCCCAGTGAATTATTGCCATACCCTTGAATATGCAACATATGCGTAACGTTCATTGATCTCGGAACGACATTACAACACGTTCACCCATGGCGACCAGTTTCCTTTCGGTGTTTTCGCCGCTCTAGCTTTTCTTAAACAATGTGTTGCCTACTCATTGACAATCTCATCCATTTTACATGATCATTTTATGTTTCCAACTTAACTTTTTACTTTTTCACTTGTAAATGATTTGATTCTGCTGGGACGACGCAAGTTTCTGTTCTTTGGTTTCAGAATCCTTTACCACCGGCCTATCGCGGAATCGAAAATTTGGGCAGTGTAGGTGCAAGAATGAGTCGTAATCAGATAATAACGGATGAAGCAGGGCCATCGACGTCGAATTCACGGAAAGTCCGAGATATTACTCACACAGTGGGTTTTTCTTACTCTTCCTTCTCCTTTACTCTCATTTACTTGAAAAAATCCTATGGAATTTCTCATTGTTCACCTTTTCTGCCAGTAAAGTTGCTACGTAGGACTACTCAATGAGACCTTTTTCAGCCAGATCGTCACTTTTGGGTCGTAGGTCATAATTCAGAACTTGTTCTCATAATCTCCGAACGCGAGTCGTGCAGTCTTGTTCGCTACAGATGACGGGGAGGAGGTTTGATGCAGCGCCACCCTATTCTTTACCAATTGTTGGAGGGGCAAACAGCAACAGTCGGTGGAAATTGAAATAGCACCGCGCCAGACCGAGCTTCACACGCCGCACCATTCGTAGTGGATGAGATTGTGGCGTTTTCGACGGAACGTCAAGATGCGCAGCGGAACATCACAATGACGTAAATAAACCTGCTCAGTCCTTTACCTCGATGATTTAGCTATTTGTCCGGAATGTTAGGGAATCAGGCGTTTAGTGGTTTAAAGATTGACTCACAAATCTTGAGCCACGTTTAGACGTCCGAGGATGACGACCCAATACTCTTGATCTTCCATTAGAGTTATAGTTACCATTCCTTTTTATAAAAGAGAAAACTCTGTGGTCAACAACAATTCCCAAGTCTTATGAAAAAGGAAATTGGAAATTCGATCAGGATTTCAGCAAAATTACTGTTTCCAGCAAAATCATCCCACAGCAGAGCCGTACTCTCTTTGGGCGACCAGTCCAACCAAAGTAACCCAATCGACTCCGAAAATTCCCTCCGAAGTACTTCAAGATCTCTCATTCCGATTTTTGGCGAACATTCCAGACGAGGAGGTGGGTGTGTAGTTTTTTTACTTTCTATTCAAGGTAAGCTTTCTCTTATTCTTGACTAAAACCCTTGCAGAGAAAGGATTAATCTTTGCCATCTCGAATGCTCATTGTATCGTATTGTATTGTATTCCAAAACATTGTTTTGAATGACGTGACAAATGAGATTATCCTGGCAGTTTTCAGTTTTAGGGTCAAGGTACATCGCCGTTCAGGATTCCTTGGCGAGAGTCAGGAGCAGGGCATTTTGTATGCTGGGGATTCCCAGGAATCGTACTTGGTCGCTGGAGGGGGGGGGGGTCATAATTGTTCTCGAGAAAAAGGTTCTTAATTTTTCACTTTTCTCGGTTTTCCCATTTCACGATGTGGGCTGACTACCTTCACCTCCTCCCCCCCCCCCGCTTGGCCGTCCGGCAGCAATTTATTGGGGGAAAGGAGAAAGGTGGAAAATTTCTGAAAAACAACTCCGTAAAGTGGTGGGAAGCACTGGGATAAATTTAATGTGTGAGATGGAGAAGGGGTTTGTATTTTGCAAACGGTACGGCATGCCCCTGTCCCTGGGTGGGAGGTTGTAGTTATCCGGGTCACACCCTAGCAGGTGACAGGTAGTTGGAGGAGGAGGGAGGGGGTGTCGTGTTTTGTGTTTTGAAAAGTTCTCTCCATCACAGTGTTGCGCCCCTGTAGCTTCATTTCTAATGGTAAAGACTAATTTCTGGCGTACATAAGTCGCGATAGAGTATGCCACCCGTATTCTATGCTATGTTGCTTTCATTCAGAAGTCAGACAAAGTTCGAATGTGCTTCCAAGTGGAATTGGCTCATTGGTTCTATATTGACTTCTACTGCAAACAAGAAGAAGAAAAGATTGTGCTCAAATGGGAATGCGAGAATTTGCCAGGTAACCCTCCAAATCATCTGTCGTCCTTTGAATGGTCCCGATCAAGAAAGCCAGATTTATAGGAATTTTTAAGGCAAATTTTCAAGCATTGTGATGAGCTGGCACCCTATGCAGCACACGTAGACCAAGTACTTTCTTCAATTTTTTGGAAAGTTGTTGAAAGAAAAGGTTTTGACATGGACTTCTTCCTAGGTTATTGACGAGTGGCGGTGGTACAAATCAACGGTTCCTACATATGGAGCAATCTTACTAGATGAAACCCTAAACCACGTGTTACTTGTTCAAGGATTCTACGCGAGCAAAAACAGTTGGGGATTCCCCAAAGGGAAAGTAAGTCAATTTTGAGGGAATGAAATATTTTTTTGCCAAGTTGCCTTTGTGAAAGGCCCTCGATGTTCGTTGTTTTATTATTCTTTTTACCTGATCCTCTTCTTCTGTGATTAAGCGGGCTGCCTTTCATGCTGTGCTTGATGGCACCTCCGTTCACCAGGTGTACTGACGCTTTTCCGGTAGAAGGTAGTCCAGTTTGCAAGCGCAGAGGCTGTGCATTTCTTCCGGCTTAAAAATACGTGATGAGGACGCTAAGCGCTCGTGGCAAGGGCAATGCGCCGCCCACCGCCCTGAGTTACACACAACGTCCAATTTCTTATGGTGCAGTTGTTCCATAACCAGTTTTTCTTTTCGTGGAGATTCGTGCAAAAGATTGCCACAAAGTTGTCCAGTAAAAGTATCAGTTAGTAGCAGACTCTTCTCTTTTTCACGAAGTGCTTCTGAAGTGATTCTTCAAATTACCGCTTTGTTTTGCGGTCCTTGCGTTGTGTCCTGAAGACTAGTAGCGAGCTTTTCTTGCAACCTCGCATCCCTCCTCCCCCCGCCCTACACACCCACTGTTGCTTTCCTAGCTCCTTTACTGAGAGAGCTATAAGCTCTGAACCGTTGCATATCTCCGGAACTTCAAGTGGGATCGACTTACAACCTGAGCCCCATCTGCCTTTCAAATCTACTTTATCTTCACTACAGTTTGTTGGCCATTTTGCAATTTTCAGGGTAGCTACATATTTATGTCTGCATGCTCTTGTGTGAATGCTCCCCAAGCTTTTAGAAAATCCGTTTTTCCGCCTAAAACTGCTTTTCTAAGTTTCAGTGCATATTTTTGTTTTCTTATGCTGTTGAGTGCTAGAGAGGTAAGTGTTGCTGCTTGACTGTCATGGTAACTTTTAGGTCAATGAGGGCGAGGAACCACGCAGTTGCGCTGTGCGCGAAGTTTTCGAAGAAACTGGATTCAACTTTGGTGATCATCGCCCGCGAGGAGGAGAGAAGAAATTGCAAAAATTCCTTAATGAGACTATGGTTCGATTGTACATTGTACCAGATGTGCCCACTGATTTCCCGTTTGCACCACAGACTCGGAATGAGATCAGGTAGTTGCTTCTCCAGTTTTTATAGCTCTGAAATTCAATTTCTTCGTCCCACTTCAACAATAATCATGAACATTTGGTGTCTTGCATGCTGAGTATATCATCGTTCAGAAGCCTATATGGGTTGTGGGAGGGTGGGGTCATGGCGCTATAGAAGAGGCCGTATTGGGCTAGTTAGAATCGTTCGTATTGGTGGGAGGGGGTATGGTAAGTTGGGAATGAACCCTAGTGCGACCGTGCAGCCATCGCCATCGTAGAAGGAAGTAACGAGTAAGGAGGGAGGTGTTACTGAATAACTAGGACCGTACTATTGATAATACCTTGAAATTTTGCTCATTGCGATGATATGCCTTGATCAGTGTATTACTTTTTTGTGCCCCACTTCTATCACGCTGTCGGCATAAGTTACCAGATTTCAGGAAAATACAATGGTTCAACGTGTGGGATCTTCCCACTGACCGGAATGATCAATTCCATAAATTGGGAATCCTGTCCAATCATAATTTCTACACTGTTATGCCATTTGTGCAAGATCTACAAAAATATATTGTGCGAGAGCAAGAGAGGAGAGCACTTGCTGTACGTTCTGTTGTTTTCTGCTAAGATCTCGTAGACCGCGTTCATACTCTGTAAATGTGAAGTGTGCGCGATACGGAGGAATGAGTGAAAAGGGAGGCATATTTATTGATCCGTAAGATTTCTCGTTGCGCGGAGACCGTGAAACGCTCGCGCGCGGATCACTCGTTCCCTACGTAGTCCTTTGTCGTCATTACTCCCTGTTGGTTCTCCGTAGCTACATGTATGTTTAATCCCAGCGCAGTCTCTCTAATCGCCATTCGCCACATTCGTAGAGTGTAAACGCGGTTTCATCCTTTCCGTCCATTAGACAAATTCATACTTTGTGAGTCGAGTGAAATAGTCGCGCTCCACCGTTAATCGTTGGACCGATGCAAGGTCTGAAACGAGTTCTGTCTTGACTGTGGTCAAATTAGCAATTGTAATGATCCGAAGATTACGGTGGAGCGCGAGAAGCTACAGTAGTGCGAATCCCAAATCGCTCGACTCAATGACTCGAGTCGCGAACTATGAATACAGACGTTGTGAAATTATTGTAGAAATGAGTTCCAGGCTGCCGAGAGTCAGAAACTGCGTTCCAAGAATGTAATGCCGACATTCGGAGAATCTCATAATAAAGGTTGGTAATTTGACGGGTTCATAACTGTTTACAAGCTATTAGCTCACTTCACATAACGAACATCACATAAAAAGCTAAGGGAAGATGAGTAGGGCGTCGGTGGTGTAATGGATCAGCAGAGCGTTCTTGAAGTTTGTTTTGAGCTTGAGTCCAGGCCGAGGCCGAACGTTCTATTTTACATATCAAAGCATACTTATGAGATTGGCCACCCACAGTGATTGCTGACATAATTGTTAATTTTATAGCTTCTCATAATGTACCGTCATCGGATATATCAGCTGTAATGGATGCCCTCTTTTCCTCTTCAGTGTTTCCGAATACGCCAGCAGCAGCACCACCACCACCACCTACCTATGATTCCAAGCGGTTGATGGTATGTTTATCCACATTTTCTCAATCATGCTTAAAGACACATGGTACGATAACATAGTTTGTGTGCGTGACCAGACTCCCAGTTGTCAAAGCCTAGCGGTTTCCTCCGTCCTAACATGCGCAGGAATGGAGATACAGGACCGTGAAACACGCTAATTCCTCCATGCTCCGCCCAATGGCGCAGCAACTCATCTTTTTCACTTTGCACAAGGGCCTGTAATTGCGTCTGGAATACAAAGAAACCGAACTTCTCCTGATGCTGACAACATTTGAAGGTTGCTCATGCTGGCACAAGTCCGATAAGAGAAGGATGATGAAGCATGACAACGCTAGAAATGAAGAACAACGATGTATGTGTGAAATCGTGAAATAAAACAAAAATTTCAAAAAAAAAAAACTTAAGGAACCGTAAATTAATTAGATGGCGTGTATAATTTCTGCAATTTGACGCGATTCGGCTCCAAAACCACAAAAATACTTCAAACTAACGAGTGGGACGCTTAGGCCGTTTTTATTTTCATGCTTTGTGGGAAAATGGGCTGCCTGGAGGATGTTGCCAGAACAGCATCAGGTTGCTGGCTTTTCGAGTTCTGGACATCGTCATCACCTTCGATTCTTGTTTTGCAGCACCTGAAATATGTCATCCGCATCAGGAAATAGCGTTTTATTAGGCAACCAAAAAAGTTCGTGCGTGAAGGTAGCGAAATAATAACATAAAAAACGGGTTAAACTTGGATTTATCCGCGGTAGAAGATTACCTCAACGCAAGTAATACACTTTCCCATTTAGACACAAGAACATATATTCCATTTTTGTAAAAATCTTGCTTCTGGGAATCAAAGAAATGTTTTAGTTCGTTGTCCAAAGCCACTTCATTTTCAAATCGCCGATTCCTCATGTGGTTGTCCAAGGCCAAAAACAGATGATAGTCACTTGGAGCAAAGGTCTGGGCAATAGGAGGGTGAGGTAGAATTTCCCATCCTAGTCGCGCTATTGTTTCCTGAGTGATTCTTGCAGTGCGTGGTCTAGCATTGTCCTGGTGGAAAACCACAACTTTTTTCTGTTCGCCTTAATTGAAAGTAATCTAAATTAACAAATACACTGAATGACACTCCTTGACATATGTCTTAACATGTATTCAAAGTTACCCTACCACTAGATCCAGTTTACTGAATATACTTCATAAAAGTAAACAAAAAAAACCGCACGAACTTTTTTGGTTGCCTAATACTTGCATTCCAAAGCGCAATTACAGGACTTGGCAAAGTGCCAAGAGCGCTGCGCGCGACACGCGCCGCGCGGACGGCTGTTAGCATAAACGGGAGTCTGCGCCGCAAAAGGCATTGGGCGGAGCATGGAGGAATTAGCGTGTTTCACGGTCCTGTATCTCCATTCCTGCGCATGTTAGGACGGGGAAACCGCTACGCTTCGACAGCTGGGGGCTAGAAGTCACGCACACCCAAACTATGTGTGATCGTACCATGTGTCTTAAAAACGCACACTGTGCACATCTGAGAGATGGATACCTCCCTTATGCTAGGTGCACAGGCATAGTTGTCCAAGCGTACCACTTTCACCCTCCGCTGAAGTGTTTGAATGAAATTGGGGAGTATGGATAGTTGTAAGTTTCTCGAAAAACCGCCCTCACAGCGCGCCACAGGCATGAAGAGCGTCGCGCGAGCGGTTACACGTCACCAAAGTCCGACAGAGCACTTGTCTGCGTCCTCACACGTTTGGCTAGGGCGTTATTGTTCTCTGCAGCTCTCTGGCTGCGTACTTGAGCAGAGTGAACTTACATTCGCTTGAATCTCGCTTGAGCCAGGTACCGCGGCAACTGTGCGTCCGGTCTGACTAGAGTATGGCCGGTCGCGCTGCGTGTTGCGTGTCTGTAGCGTGATGTGCGGGTGCAGTTCTGAAAGAATAGACAATTCTGCTCACCAACTTCTTTCCTACGTATTTCTGTACGACGAAGGTGGCAGGCTTTGACAGCTGCGCACCTGCTCTTCTCGCCCATCGAGAGGATTCTTTTTGCAGGTGAGAAGCAAAGGTCTTTTGAAATTGTGCTTCAGGCAACTCATCAAGTGTCAGCTCCGTCGCCTGGTGAACCCTTATCAACAGTTCATTCCAACATTACTAACCTATCATTACGGATGCCACCCGCATATGCTTCTCACGACTCTATGCTTGACTCGAAATCTCCACGATATCATTCTGAAGCCGTCCAAAATGCACATCAGTCGAGTCATTTCCGCCCACTCGATCAGAGTCCGCTGAGTAGGAGCGTCATGAATGTACTTGCAGGTGAGAGGTTATTGTTCAACTCGGCGATGACATCTTACTGCAGGTCCCCCATTCAGGTTCCTCGAACAGCTTGCCTCGTAGAGCTGCTGAAAAAGGAGTGCCAACGATAGCTCATCCTATTCCGATACCTGCCCATGCGGCACCTCCGCCTCTTATCAATCGACCGGTCTATGTTGCTCCGAAGGACAAACAGCCAAGAATAAGCCACAGCGAGACTTCGGTGTGTAAATAGAATTCTGACCTGAACTGTCATTTAATGGCGGGTTATTTTTTGATCTAGGCGTTCACAGCCTTCAAATCCCCCTCGATGACTTCATCCGTGGAAGTTCCAACAAGATCTACTGATAAAATTGAGTTAGAATTGCACAAGTTGCTTTGTGCATCCTCCGATGGCGACGAGTCGGTGAGGGCTGCTCATCATGGAGAAGAGAAAACGCCCACTGGATTCCTGGACAGTATGAGGTATCTGCTCTTGTTGCAGTATGATTTGTTATTTTCTTTTTGTACGCGTAGATTTTTTGTATATTATTTATCATTAATGAATTTCGGTGAGTTGAAAAAGCTGTATACAGGACCTCAAACAATTAAGTCCTCAAACAATTAAGTCAGATTAGCAAGGTCGAAAGGCTTGACCTATTGCTGGAGTCGAACCTCACGTTTAGTGGCGATTTTGCTATCCGTCGCCATTTTTGGCTGCATCTTACCCACTCATTCTTTGGGTGCCATAGTCTTACAGTGGAACCGTTTCTATCTTGTCCACTTTCATGGAAGGGATTTGCTTTGAGGCTCACTCGTCATAGTTTTCTGGTTAGACTCCAAACTCCTTTCCGATAATATTTTATTTTTTTTCCATTTCTATTACCTGAATAGAAATGCTGCCTCCTTTCTCCTGATCAGTTGTAAAACAACGTTCAGACTTCGCGATGACCTGCGTCGACGCGCCTTAACGCGCTGTAAAGCGCCTCGATGCGTTTCACTTGCAGCCGTTCTAATGCTAGAGTCGCGAACGCTGCAGAAGGGATCAGTTCGGCACCGGCCGCTTTGCGTTGAGTATGGGGAACATAAGGGTATGCGTTACCTAATCACACAGTCTGATATCGATTGGCACTGGCCGCTAGCGCTTTTGGTAGAGTAGAAGAATGAGAGGGTCCCAGATTAAGTGAAAGCAGTGCCTGCCCTCATGCTATCCTACTCTCTCGATACACAAGCGGCCGATGCCGATCGATTCCCGTCTGCGGCTGCGTTCGCTTCTGTACGATTGGAGCGGCTGCAGTTGTAGTTCTTCGCGAAGTCTGAACGCTGCCTAATGCTTACCACCTTTTGTCGGTATCCTAGCGCGACTATGGGGTACATGAGTAGGGTGATAGCCTCATGTGCTTCTTTTTGAAGATAGCTGTATTTCCAGCCCAGATACCGATTTGGGATCGGAATTCGCATATATGACTGGAATAACCGGAGATGCAAATCACACGGGATTGGGTTATGTTCTTCCCTACACTCGCGCTGATGGATTTATTGTGCAGCTATGCGACGCTTGGAAAGATTTCAAGGTACATTTGGAAAGGCAGATCTTCATTTTTCTGCTTTTTCAATGAAGTTTTCTTGTTTAGCTGGATAGAACTGCTATCTTCGCAGGACTTCCTGGCTTTGAAGCAGTTCACTAGAGGTTGGTTCAAGACGAACAAGTGGTTTTTCACTACGTTGAACGTGCATTGTCACAAGTTCTTCTCGTAATACCCTTCCGTTTACAGTCGAGGCTCTTACAACTTGGTAATAATGGAGTTTCTTTATTAAATTTGTATTTCTATATCGTCTATTTTTTGTATGTACGCCCTAGTTTATGCAGTTGTTGCCCTCACATGGGTGTAGTTCGAAACCTCCACGTGCACGGCATTCGCACCGGCAAAACAAAATTGATTCTGTCAGATTGACTAACTAGAAATACTCTGCCAGTGCGCGCTCGTTGCCGATACGTGGACTTGAACCTACGCTGAACTGAACACCCTCTCCCCCCCCCCCCCCTTATGCAAATCCTTGTTTGGGGTTTTTATTCCGTCACGCATCAATTACTCGGAAATATTGATTTATTTTTAGTATTTACTTGGTGATTATTCAACGCTCGGTCATTGGCCCTGTAGACGAGAGGCGTGTAAGGGGGCGTGGATTGGAGCTCAGCCAATACAGCTTTTTCCACCAATCATGCCATCGTAGGAACGCAACAATTGGTGGAATAGGTTGAAGTGGCTCCGCTTTAATTAGGCCGCTTCTCAACCCTTTCGTTTGCTTAGACAATGACC